AGAAGGTAAAGCAGCATCTGCTGGTTTTCTATTTCAAACGCAGCAAGCGCTGTAATATTGAATCAGCGGGAGCAGAAATGTGGTTTCCTAAAAAACACACAAAGAATGAGAATGCTCTATCGAGAATCTTTGAAACATTTCATGTTTAAAGAGCTTTGAAAATAATCAGTGGTTTGGTGCATCTTCAAGACTAAGAAAATATGCAAGGACCAATACTTAGGCAAGCATACTGTTCTCCAGCAGTGCCACAGGACTGATGACATTATCTGCTTATAAATATTCTTTCAAGCTCCTTCTAAATCATAGAATCACAGAATGGTTTGGGTTGGAAGGGACCTTTAAAGGCCATCTAGTCCTACCCCCCTTCAGTGAGCAGGGACATCTTCAACCAGATCAAGTTGCTCAGAGCCCCATCCAACCTGACCTTGAATGTTTCCAGGGATGGGGCTTCTACCACCTCTCTGGGCAACCTGGGCCAGTGTCTCACCACCCTCAGTGTAAAAAATTTCTTCCTTACATCTAGTCTAAATCTCCCCTCTTTTAGTATAAAACCATCACATATAAACATGTATCCTAAATCAATGGTTGTCAACCTAAGCATTGCAGAGTCCTGGAGGTCCAAGGACAGTGTAGGAGGTGCAAGGCAGCAGAAAAGCAAGCCCACTGTGGGTACGTTCAATACAAATGTCTTACCCCATTGGGATAGTGGTGAATCTGGATAGGCAGGTCCTGGTACATTGAGTTAAGCGTTGTCCCGTGTTTCAGATCATCCGTGAGGACCCGTTTGTTCACCATGTGGTAGCGGAGGGCGTTGAGCAGCTCAATATTAACATTACTGACTAAGGAATCCAGGGTTTCCTGCAAATCACAAAAAGTCATTTTTTTTTCAGTGTTGAGTGTAATTAAGTTGTTGGAGAGAGCCAGGAGGTCTGGCTGCATCCAAGGTGCTTCCAAGGGGCTGGGGGGTGTGTGTATGAAGTGATGTATTCAGCCTTAAGCCATCTGTGCAAATTAAGAGCTCTAACTTCCATAAATCTTTATCTTTTGCCTGACAACAGCAGCTCGCAGCTCTGGCACCCCCATCCTTGGCAGATAAAGGGATGATGGCAGCAAGCTCCAGTGTGGGATGGCTGCATCAAAATGAGCAGTAAGGCAACAAGAGGCATCACTCAGGGCCAAGGACAAATACATCAGGAGACCTTCCCCAACAGCATCATCCCTGCAAGGGGCTTTGCTGGTGCAGGTTTGGGGTAGAAAGTTGGTAGTGGGGATAGCCAAAAAGATGCCCCCTCCCTGCCTCAATAGTTGTTCTTACATATTTACGGACAAGTGATTAAATGTGGGATGTAACTGGATAGGGGTTGTACCATCTGGACTCTCTCCTGTTCACAGAGATGCTCCACTAGGATGGGAGCACCAGGAGGAAAGCAGTGACAGTTTCAGGAGTGGAAATTTCACAAGACACCAGAGTGAGAAAATCAAAACCAATGTAAAGTAAATTTATATGTAATTGAGCAGAGGAACACACTGATGCAGGAAGGCTGCAGGTTCACCAAGGCTCCAGCTGGGACTGGTTACTTGTGCAAATTATTAAGAACAACCAGAGTGGTAAAATAAGGGTCAGCAAGAAAAACCAAAAGAGATGGAAAGGCTCTTGCTGCAGGTTTTACTGGAATATCTAACGGTAAGCAGCAGGGAAAAGGCAACGAGGTGATTTTTACATCGACCCACTGGAGAGCATCCACATCTCTCTAGCTTTGGGTCTTTCAGAAACAAAGCTCTGGAGCTGATGGACCAGTGAAGTGATTCCCATGTTGGCAATTCAGAGTCCTTCCCGTATCAGGACTGCATCTATTCCACCAGATGGGGCTGGATCCAGACCCCTGCAGAGATGGGTCTCCACTACAGAAAGCCAGAGGAAGAGGAGAAAGAAGAGGAATTGTATCTTACAGCAGACAAGGATGCCCAGGCTTCATTACTGGGAGCAAAAATTGTAAAACTTCCAGGTCCTTCAATTTCTGGCCTTAGGTTTGACCGGTCAGAGTAGAGCTGCGTGGTGGCAGACCCAACAACTCCCAGGGTCTCATAGATGTTTGAAAGCGGCAGCGCTGAAAGAAGAGAGGGTTATATTCCCAACACATCATTCATCCTTCCCTGCACTGCGCTGAATTAAAGTCGAGCTGCTGGTGAAAATGCTTGGGGAAATGAAGCATGTCAGAGCACTCGTATCTGTTCATTAATTAGATCATAAATAATCGTGGCCTGACAGCTCCAGCCTCAATTACAGCAGTGTAATCTAGGATCTACTGCACCTCTGCAGGTTTAAATGGAGTCACCCTGGATTTATATGGATGTGAATCAAGCCAAGCAAAGATATTCATTGCTTTCACTTGATCTTTGGTTGCACTCAGGCTTTTAGTGCTCAGAGCTGGCAGCTCACTGGTCTTGGTCTCCACTGACCCGTCTACACCAACCCACGTGGTTAACTGGGCGGCATCAAAACTTTTGTGGAAGGAAGCGTTCAGAAAGCAGAAGCAGAATATGTCTTTCTTCAATAAACCCAGTGAATTCCCTCCCAAACTCCACCAGTGGCTGAACTGTATTTTCTCCTCAAAGCAATTTTGCTAACCTCATGCTTGCCAAAATAGAAACGAGCTGAGATTGGCAGAGCTGTCTGTTACTCCATCATTCCTTTGTATTACATTTCCAATACAGTTATATTACTTGTTGGAGTCAGTAGCTCCCTATGGCCCTCCCATGCTTGATTAAGTTTAATTATATCCAAGTTTTTAAGTTGTCTGGAACATTTTGCATGCTTTGGAGCTGATCTGGCACTCAGCTGGTGCTCTGCTAAGTCCATTTTTTTTAGTTCTTCATGGCAATATTGTGCACAAATTGCAAAAATCAAATCCACTTTGAGTGATTTTCTAACTTCTCCCTTTACTAGGCAGCTGTATAATTTTTAAGAAGTCTAAAAAATGTCAAACATTTTTACCAGCTGGGCAGCCTTTTTCTCCAGGAACTTTTTCATATCCAGGACAGCACTCGTAACTGATTACTCTGGAATAAGAGATGGATACGGCAGATTAACTGACGGCGTCTCACTGCTTTCTCTCCATTTGCTATAGTTCTTTATCCATCCATATTTGGTGATGTTTCTAAGCAGACTCTTCATTAGAAATATAGACTTGAACAAAAGACAAACCACAATTTTTATCTCCTTCAGGGCTGTACGTTGCCAATTTTTCCACAGAACAAAAGCAGACACAATTTCTTTTTCAAAACCACACTTTCCATGAGACTTTGTACAAACAGTGGATGGAAACCAATGCCATGATCCCAACAGATCACCTATGCAAGACACTGCACATGCTGGTTCATTTGGGCACATTTCCCAGGGGATTGGGGGTATCTCCCCATCTGACTGCTGCTGTCACATCTGATCACTGTTTGGCCAACATGCTGCAACTCCGGCATGGCTACTTTACCAAACCAGCCAAGTGTTTCCTCTTCATTTCACCCCATTCTTGTCCACAACTAGAAATTATTTGCTTACTTATGGCAAAATCTACTAGACAGACCTGGAGAGAAAGGAGCATCCCTGGTCTTGGATGCACTGGCACAAAGGCTTGGGATAAGCCCTGCAAGGACAAACTTCACCAGTGGTGGCACATGCATCTGTGGGCATCCTAGGCAGTCCAACTATCTTTGCTATCACCAAGTACATCTGTGTGAGCACCCTCAGTGCAGCATTTCCATCTGGCTGGCAGAAAACTGCTGCTTTGATCAAGCAGTAAAACCAAAAGTGCCAGAGACACCATCATGGGGCCATCCTGCAGATTTGCAGACCCTAAATGAGCAAGAGCTGCCTGTGTCCATCATCTGCAGCTAAATGAGAAATAGAAGTCATCTGATTCTCAAAGCTGGCCATTTAATGGAACATGTTCTGAATTTAACAGGAGAAAAAAAAAAAAAAAGAACAAGGAAAATAAAATCAATCTAGAAGTTGCCTGTTTGTGTTTCTCAGGGGGTTCTTTCACCTATTGCTCTTGGGCTTGGTGTGAAAGGAGCAAGGCTACCTGATTGATGAGCTAAGACAGTGAGGGAATAGGTGTTCCTCCCCAATACAAGTGTTTCCTCTGTGCTCCCAGTTGGATTCGAGACAAGTAGGATGCTGTATTGCCACAACTCGAGGAGAAAGGAAAACCCTCAAGCTTCAGATATTTGTCATCATTTTAACACTGTTAACAAACAGTGGAAATGCCTGGGGTTTAAGAGGGAATTCTTCAGGGTAATTAAGAGCCAGTAAGTGAAACAAATACCTGCTTTTTCTGTGGCAGAAGCAAATAAATTCCGTGTCACGGTTTCCTAAGGGAATTACAAAGCAAACCCAGACTGATTGTCTAGACATTATATATTCCATGTGGGAAAGAGCTTGCCTAAAGCAATCCCTTCCTTTGACTACTGGAGATCTTAACACCCTGCTGCTCCGCTTTCCCCAGCCCCCTGTCTCGTGCTCATTAGAAACACACACTTTCTTCCCCCACCACTTCCCTCCCCTACCTCCGATCCTTCTTTTTTTTTTTCACCCTAGAAACTAAACCCAGTCTAGACAGTTCCCTTGGTTCAGACCTGTAATCAAAGATGAGGAGTTGATTAAAGAGAAATCATTCCAAAGTGCAGCATAAATAATTCCTGAGTACTGACGTAGGCTTTAAAAGGCTTATTTATAGATCGATCGGAGATTAATGAGCTGTGACGAAGAGGCAGGATGCTGATGCTCACAGCCTGCAGCGCAGGGCTCACCAGCTCGGGGCTGCCCCAGCAGCCAGGCGCCTGCCAGAGGGGAGGGCACTGGGAAGGGATGGAGGGACCACGCCATCTGCTTTTCAGCAGGTTCATGGGCATCTCCAGCATCACCCCACAAGGGAAACTAATGGCAAGAAGTACCAAGGCTAGTAATGGTGTTGGTTCCACCCATTCAGGGGCTCCTTCAAGCCCCCAGTCTCAATCACCCACTGGAGGTGACCTACCAGCATCACCTGGTCTGCATTTTGCATGCCAGCATTTTGAGTTGAGTACCAGAAAACTTCTGCAAAGGACCAGGGGAACACAGTGGTGCTCACCCAAGTGTTTGCACCTACAAGGAGCTGGAGATGAGGACTGTAAAAATCAACTTCAGCCATTTGCCCTCCCACAGCTGGTGGGCTTGGTGGAAGCACAAGTCCACCCAGCCCACCCAAAGGCATGTGGGCACCATTCAAGGGGTCACTTGGGGCTGGGCACAGGGCATCCTCCGAGCTGGTCCTGCAGCCACCTCCAGGCCTCAGGAGAGCACCACATCTGTGGCTGAAGCTCTGCCTCACTTTCAGGACCCTCCACGCTACGGCACCCTACACATCCATATGGGAGGAAGAGTGCTCCTTTGACACGTGCTCCTCCAGGTGGGTTGGAGCCACAGCCTGCTGACTGAGGAGGAATAATTCTCTCACGTGACCAAGGGCAAAGAACTCATGGGAGAAAACATCGAACACACACAACCACTGCACACACACACAAAAACATTGAACACACACAACCACACGGCGGGTTCTGCACAAAAGCCTTTGGAGTTGCCAACTCCATCCCTGTTTCTGGTGTCTGCTCAGCAGCTACAGATCACTACACCAGGACATGACTGGTGCCAGCGATGTGGGTTAAATCCACAATGCCCTGGTACAAACAGAGTTTGTCATCCACTCTGCAACGCCTCTGACCACAATTTCCTGACTTCCTCATTGAGTAATTTCAAGTCAAATCTAGAGGTTTTCAGCCTCTGGTTTTGAAATGCTGTATTTCTTAAACGTCTATCTGTGTCTGACTGCAGAAGCAAGCTCCCTGGCTTTTATTAGTCATTGTGTCACTGCTGTTGACTTCTTAGGATCTGAAATTAAATTTTAAGTGCATTTTTCATGGTAATAAAAATAAGCTTAGCCATATATTAGTGAATAAAGATCCATTTGTAATAATTTCCTGTAATAAAACCCATATGTTTTGTTTTTGTAAAATAAGTGCCAGAGAGTATTTTTTTTTTCCTGAACTGAGGAAAGTACATATGACAAGAAAAAGAAAGTTAATTTAAAAGGAAAAAACTGAATGTATTAAAGGGCAACTTACTGCCACTCGTTATTCCTCAAAAAATAATCAAAACCCAGATTTATGTAAGTTGTCTTTTCATTCTCAAGACAAAAAAAAATGTGTGAGGACACATTCAATTGCAACCCCAACTCTGGAAGAATGAGTCCAGTGCATAAGGGAGGTTGAAAAATAGAACAAAATACAGGCACAACGATGAGAATTCACTCTAAATAAACTATTTCTTTGGCTTTGGAATAACCAACAGTGGAAAATTACCTAATTACCAAAACAATCTTGTTTCAGTACTCATTAAAATCAAAGCAGAGTCAGACTTCTTGCCAACTGTCTTATCTCACTTCATCAGCGAGTAATGCAATGATAAAAAATGTACATAAATCCTCGAATTTCTCCCTGGCTGTGTGAGCTAATACTTCATCAAAGAGAAGAAAAACAAAGAGAAAAAGCAGATAAAGAGGGAAGAGTCCTCTTCTGATCTATGAGTTGAAGTTTCCATCGTGCACATCCAGCCCCAGTAGAGCACTCCACCCCCATGGACCAGAAGATGCTGCTCAAGGAGCAAGCCTGCACAGCCTCACCACCAAGCCTCTGCTCACAGTGTAACCTAGTTGTGTCTGGTAAGAGCTATGGAGCAACTCAGCACGGTGCCCACTGTGACCATGAGTATTCTCAGCCATGAGCTTGGAGCAGCGACCAAAAGGTGATGCATCTGGAGACAAGACTAAACACCAGGCACAGCCATGTTTGTGGAGCTGACTTTCCTTGCTGCTCCAGTTGCTCTGCATCTCCCCAGGCAGGTTGTGATCATTCAAGAAGGAGTGAAGTTACGCTGCAGGCTTTCAGCAACTTTTCTGCCTTCTTCACTCAGGGTTGAACTTCTCTGAGTCAGCTCTGCAGGAGCTCAGCTTTGCTCCTCTGCAGTACCTGGTCTCTCACTGACCTCCCTCGCTATATGACCTGTTTGAAACCATGCTCAGAGCAGGAAAGGAAAAGAAATCAAAGCAGTTAAAACTATCTTCCTAGAGTCAGGTATTTGTACCTGCAACGCACATCCAACTTGTGGCATCACTGACCCTTTAAGTAAACAAGGAGGACAGCAGCCATGTCAAATGTGAAGTAGGTAATGGGTCAATTGTCTCCTATCCCAGGACTGCTCTTCTCGCAGGTGGTAAAAACCTTTTAGGAGGTGGAAAGAAATTACCATGTTTATCCAGCTCCAACATCCCTCCTGGACTGATGGAGTGGATCTCCCTGACAACAGGAGGACCAAGCACACAGGTTCAGGAGAGGACTTCTGGCTATGGATCCCAGGCAAAGGCTGGATCCACCCATTTCTGCTGACAAACATGCCAAATTCTGACTCTTTCTGGGATTTAAAGGCAGCTGGTATCCTCAAAACCTCTCATAGACCAGCTCAGTACCATGTGATAGGATGGGAAGGGCTAGTTTTGAGGGTTCATGCTGAGCACCAGCTGTGCCCACATAATTCCTTGGGTGCTGGTGCACTGAGTACAGCATCAGGCCCCTGACACTGGTTTAAGAATCTGATTGCCGCAGCATAACGCATCATGTTCTTCATGGCCCAAATGACTCCTGATTGCTTCCATACGCCAGGAACACCACATCCAGTGGGAACCATCACCAGCAAACATTTGTAATCAGAGCTGTCCCAGGATCCACTGGAAAATCTGAGTCAAGGCACGTGTCTTTTGTTCTGCACAAGCATTGCTACAGAGCAAAGTAGGGCCCAGGCTCAAAAATTACTAGGAAGAGAGAAGAAGACAATAACAGCCATTGTGGAGATGACGCAAAGCAAAGAATAGTGAGCAAATTCCGTGTATAATGGGAACATTATCTCATAGGTTAACAGGCAGGTTAACACTCTGGGTGTTTTTCTCTCAGTGATGCATCATTGGATTAGACACTTGGGTAAAAGCAGAAAAAAATGAGGTTAGAAGAGATCACCCCATCACCTCAAATGAAATAATGAAATACTGCCAGATGCCAGTTGTTCCACCTCTTTCTGGAGATAAGCAGATGAGTTTTGTCTCTGCCAAATACAGCTGCACACTTGGGTTACACGAGGTTAGTTTCTCATTTGTTTCAGAGCTGAAGAAATCTGTGGCTGGACCACTTTGCCTTTCAGTGACTATCATAGCAAAGCTATCCCACATCCACAGTGAGTCATGTTTTCTTTGGAGACCTACTGAGCTAACTCTGTTATCAGAAGAGGCAATGATGATACCATATTGCCATGCCATAATCTTGTCCATTTTAAGTCAAAAAAAGCCACCATTCAGCCAAGATAACAGCCTGAACTCAAATCATCCAAATTAAGTCTTCCCAGATTTGGTGGTGTTGTAGAATTCAGGGGGGGTTGGGGGGGACACAGATATTGTTTGTTTTTACAATATTTTCCTCTCCTTTTTTTCCTTTTTTCTTTTTTTTTCTGTGAAGACCATTGAACATAAGAGAAACCACCATAGATGCTCACTATATGGTACATCCTGCAATATATTCTCCTGAAGTACAGAATTGTCTCTTTTAGACAAATTCATGGGTGGCACAATGAAAGGTCAAAAGCCATGCACAGTGATGACTCCTGTTTTACCCCCCTCCTCACAATACCAACACATGAAGTGAATCCCAATGACCAGCCATCACAGCTAAACTAATGAAGGCAACCAAAATAAAAGCTATATAGCTTACCACAGTTCAAGATCTCAAAGTCTGCTGTTGACTATAGAAACAGAAGTTATTTATTCTGCAGTAAAGAAGAGCATGTTCCTGTAGCTCTCATCACAATTTACATTGGACCATATCAGAAACAAATGAGATTATTTTCTGCTGTTTTTTCTTCTTGACCTTGCAGATTCAGGACCAGACTTGGCCCACAGCTCTGCTCCCCACAGCCAGCACCTTTGCACTGATATTGGGTGACGTGGTGGTGTGTGCTCAAGTGTGGGCCAGCAAAGGTGTCTGAAAGCCCAGTTTGGCCTACACCAAGGAAAAAGATTTCTCACTCCTGATCTACAGCCTGGCAGATAGTCAAGCATGCATATCCTTAATTATCTGCTGACTACATCTTTCAAAAGAATGTCCCGAGGCTGCTTACACAGATACTTTATGCAACAGCTACTTGAATATTATTGTTTGCAATTTTAGACGTGGAATTGGCCTGCAAGTCTAATTAACTTTCCTGGTCGAGTCATCAAAGTGTTGGCTAAAACTGACACCTCTTTCCCCTTATTTCGGTTTCCCCTTCCAAAGCAAACACACGTAGATGAATTTTACGTTCTCTCCAATATCCATCAGCTCTGGATTGCCTTTTATTTTTTTTTATTTTTTATTTTTTTTTTAGCTAGGGCAACATTGAGCCTAGCAAGGAGAGAGACACAGCTAAGTACTAGAAAACATCTGGTGCACACTTCATTACAGCATTGAGAGCTCTGTAAGTATATGTAGAAATGCAAAAATGCAATTAGAATAAACCATCAGGGTTTGTATTTACATGGGACTTTCCATCCTTAACATCTAAGTGTTTTACAGTCATGTTTGACAATTGAGAAAAACACAAATACTTCTTAGAGAGTAAAAGGAACAATTCATAACAAATATATACATTAAGGCCACAGCATGGACTCCAACATCCCCCATCTGTCACACCATCTGCTTCTCCCACCCAGCACCCACCTCCACAATGGGGTCTTCAGGGAGACCCTGGTCAGTTCTTGGGTACTTACGTTGCCTTTCCACAGATCTTCCTCTGGTACCACTGCTTGCAGTTGGTGAAGTATTTCCTGTTCGTGCCAATCAGCTTCTGCACGGCGCAAACGTTGGGGCTACAGGTAACAACAAAGCAGAAGAGGGTCTGGTAAGTCTCCCTCCATTCGGTGCTGAACCCCAACACGGAGCCAGACCCCGCCTGACAGCATCTGAAAAGCCCTACTGGGGTGGCAAGAGAAAACTTTGAGAGCTGCAAGTCAACTTGCTTGATCTGAGTGTACAATTACTATCATCAAGTGGAGGATGCAGTGAAAGAGATTTCTCTCCACTCTGCCAGGATTTATTTTTCTTCATTGAATGCAAAGTCTTGACTTTTTTCCCATCTTCCACCTTTCACCAAAATATAAAGAAATTAAGACAAAAATAATACTTTGGTCAGTATTTCCATGGTGAACAGCTACTTCCAATTTGGGATCTCAGCTAAAACCTGATGAAGTTGTGCAATAATTCAAATCCTTCCCCAAAACATAATTATTTTTTAGAACATAAAGACAGACAGATATCAGCCTATGGACCAACTTGAACCAAAGTCAGTGCTTCTTCTCTACGACAAGCTCAACCTATTCTGGACACAGATGTTGAGCTGCTGATGGGGAAAATGAGTAGTGACACTGCCACTTACAGTTTGAACACACAAGGTATGATAGCCCAGATTGATATATCAGCCCACAAGGTACCAAGAGCTCATTCTCCACCAGAAAAACATTCCACCAGGGAAGGTGACTCCACCACCTTCCTGGGGAGCTGACTGCAGCCTGTCAGCTTTCTAAGAAGTGGTGTCACTGCGAGCAAAGATGTGGTCAAACAGGAGCTGGGAGTTTACTGGCTCCTAGTTTGGCCAGCACAGCATTTCCCTGCTCAGCCTGGCTCACCATCTCCATGCTTTATGGCCAGCAGCCCTGGCCACAGGTGTGGGCAACACACGGTCAGTGAATGAGATATGATTTATGGATCTGGGTTGCAAGGCCACTCTGGGCTTGAGCTAGAGGGTGTAGCAAATGCCCAAGCAAGCTGAGGATGCTCAGCTCAACTGAGACTGGATTCCCAACACCAACACCATGCACCAGTTGTGGTGGTGGCACCAGAAGTCTGCACAATATTGGCTGCCAGGCAGATGAAGGGAAAACAAATAATTAAGCAAAATACATAAATCATCACTTCAGCTCATCAGAAGTGCTCTGCACCATCCAAGACAGAGTTTTCATTTGTGCAAAGGAAAGTCCAGATGGTCCCTGGAGATGCTGATTGGCAGCCTGTTTCACCATGGGTTTCACCAAGATGCTGCCTACTTGTCTACAAAAATTAACAGAAGCAGAGTTTGCAGCATGACCATCAAGTCTTCCTGTGGCCATCCTTGCTTTTCACCAACATCCCAAATTCATCTCTCTCCAAAATGGGCCAGCCTGCCCATCATTGGCATGAATTAACCTGAGGGTCTCCTATATGTTGGCTATCTCCAGCACCTGTCTTGGCAGGAGCTTGGCTGCCTTCAATGAGCCTTTGTTGATGTGGCTGCTGTGGGGCTCTCAGGAGGCAGGATCTGACCCTGCATGGCCCTGGCACCTTCGTCCTGCCCCGAGGGGAAGGTGAAGACCAGTGGGACCTGGGGAATGAGGTTCACCATTTCCCTCATTACTGCCATATCCAGTAAAGGGGGTTTGTTTCTGCATGGAAGCATTTCATTCCCTTTATATAGATACAGGGTGAGGGACAAAGAGAAAGAATCTACTGAAAAAAAAAAAGTCAGAAATCACAAAGCCAAACGTTCAGCTGGTGCAAACTGGGCCAGGCTCAGTAATTTCCATGCCAAATCATCGCTTAGAGAGACGTCTGTGCTCTCTGACTCAGCCCACCTCGGCTACCCCAGCCCCGCCGCGCCGAAATATGGTTCCAATTACATCAACATTCCAAACCTTGCCTGGATTTCAGAGTCTGGCTGACGGCAGTGGACAATCCCTCTAATATTCATCTTGACAAGCCTGGCTACTGAAAGACTTGCTTGATCACTTCCCCCGTATCCCCAGGAGCTGCCTGCCAAGAAAACCCTTGCTCCTTCAAGGGAACTGGTGATGCCTTGCTCCCTCCTCCCTGCCTGAGACCACAGCTCTGTAGGGTTGCTGCTCCCTCCTCAATTTATCAGGGAAAACTTCTTCCCACTTCTTCCTCAGTGTGGAAAAATCCCTCCCCAGGGCTGTGTTATCAATGATTCCCGCGGGCAGGCTGTAGTAGCGGCTCCCTGCCGTGCGTGTTCTGGTCCTTTGCCCAGTCTGGCTTAAAATGAATTTGTCAACACTCTCCCTTCTCCTCGTTGGAGTTCATCACCTCTGCCATGCTGTTCCCAGCCAGCCGCGCTGACTCGAGGATAAAACTGCCTATTGTTCCCCTTCAGCTGAAGCCTTCCACTTGGCAGGCAGCAGCTGGGAGCTTCTGGGGCAGAGGCTGCCCTTTGGGAAGGGGTAGAAAAGAGCAGGACCTACCCTACAGCCCCAGCTACCTGCCGTGACTATGTCCATGAAGCTCCCCAGCACCATGTAGCGCCCACAAAGCCAGGTGAGTTTTGGGAGAGCCCTCCTAGGTTTTCATCTTCAAATGTTAATGTTCCTTCTATACTTCTCAGCTCCTCTCCTAGACTTGAGCTGATTCACTTAAAAAAAAAAAAAAAAGTTAATTAAGATGTACAAGTTTTGCTGCAGAGCCAAGCTCTGCCACCCAACTTGCTCTCAGCTCAATAGGAGCATTGATGGTGTGGGGGTGATGTTCACAGCAAAAGGGTGGTAGTCCTGGTAGCACATCCCTCTTGACCTCCCTCCTGCAAGCAAAACAACACATCTCACATCCAAGAGCTTTCTAACTGGTTTTGTGTCACTCTATCTCTTTGGCACATCATTCATCAATGTTCAAAATTTGGCTGATGTTTAAAAATTAGCTAGGTTTCCATTGTTCTCTCCATCAGAAAGGGACCAGTGAGCAAAGCCTTGTTATCTCAGCATAACTCCTCTTCATCTGGAAACCCTGGCATATTAATTCCTTGTATCCCCCAAAGATCTTGGCGCCAGCATGGACTGTGATCACATCTCACCCTGTGCCTCATGGACTGTAAAGGGAGTCCCAGGCTGCTCTCTGCAGAGAGGAGCACTGATTTACACCAGGACTGCACTAACTTACCAAGTCTGAGCAAACTTCTGCCTCAGGGCTATCAGCAGAACTGGATATTTACTTAATTTCAGATCATGTAGAGATGAAGAACAAGACTCATTCTATTTGTATGTAAATCACTGAAATTCTTTCATTATTGAGATTTTACAAATAGACATCACCCCAAAATTTCTCTGTGGGTTTCTGAAATTGATTAGACACATAAACAGCTTACACCTTTTCATCAATCCTGGCCTGGATCCCTGCTTAATAATGTATCCAACTGCAATACTTAAATCTTGGAGTTTTTTTAAAAGCATTTCATGCCCCTGCCTTCAGCAGCCCATTTAAATGGAAGCGACAAATCAATCAATGTCACCATCGCCAGAGACAAAAGCCAGCTGAAAGGTCTGTCAGCCTTTCACCCTTCCTCATTCCCAATAATTTTTTTAAAAACAGTAGGAACAACTATTAACATTGGGTTAGTTTTTTACCTATTAATGAAGACACAAACCACTCGGACCATAACGTATTGTCCATCTAGCAAGAGGTCTACATGCACTTTTTTTTGGATATTTCTTATTTTGGAAGGTTTATGAGTCAATGAGTGATGACAGTTGTCAAGAAAACTTTGAAGACTTATTAGTGGTTCCAGTCAAGAGTAAGTTGATGCTTTCTCTACAGAGACACTGCTCTGCCATTCAACCAATTTATTATTTATTTCTATAAAGTCATGAAA